AACATATGAAGTAGAGAGAAGGTTGAGAGTGGTAACCCTGTCCTGTCCAGATGTAAAGCATCTATTGCCAAGGCCCAAATATGAGGTACTGGAGACAAAATTGCCAGTAGTTGGGTGATCCAATGTGAGGCCAACTCACCAATTTGGGTTGCAAAATGAGAGGTAATCCAACTGAACCTTGTAATGCAACATCTACTCTTACAGGAGAATCTGCTAGGAGTAAGACAATGGACCTGCTACCACAGGCATCACCCGTGGAACATGGTAAGCTAGAAGGGGGAAAAGATAGACGAGTTCCGAGAAAGGAGGTCCAAAATTCGAAAATAAGGAGCCCTAGACCACATGCCTCCTTGATGGAAAAACATAAGACACCACAGCAGAATAGTCAGAGTGAAGCCTGAGGATTTACCCCTTAAGAAGCCCAGACCATGAGACCTTGCCTGTTGAATAGCAAGAAGGATTAAAACATTGTGTAGGGAATCCTTGTTGTCAGTGCATAGACTTTGGAATTCCTGACTGTTGATGTACATAACCCATCCCTGAAGCAAAGTATTTATGAAGAGAATGAAACTCTGGATGAAGTGGAAGTAGAGGAACCCAAATTGTAGTAGCATCCTAACTTAACCCCTCGAGATCAAAGAATGATCTAAATTAAGGAAACTAGGAAATAAATGTGTATGATCCCTGTTCATTTAAAGACCAATAAAAGGATCGCTAGTGTTCTCATCCCAAAGGCATGAAGGATTTGAGTGATGCCCACAATCCCAGGAGAGAAAGATAGGTGAGTAAGAGTGTGGAATCCTATACTATAGTGTTGAGCAGAATAGGAGAGAGCTGAGCCCAACTGAGAGATGAGATGAAAAATAAAAAATACCCAAACTTATGACATATAGAATTGGAGCAAGAACAAATACTGCAATCCCGAGAGAGAAGCCTACCTGGGTTGTATCGGAAAGTAGAATCAGGATGTGATGGTCTAACAATTGACAAGATGTTACCAGCAGTAACCAGTCGTCCATGGAGTGGTGTGTGCACAGTATGATGGAATGATGGGGACGAGAAAACTTATATGATACATCAGAACCAATGTTAAGCTTGTGTGAATCCAAAGGAAAAAAACCTGGAACTGCAGTACCTGACCCCTGTGCACCACAAATGCCGATAGTGTTGGGACTCCACTGCTAAGGCAAAATGCAGATAGGAGCCAACTACAAGCCAGTTGCACATCTACAATCCAGTAAAAAAATCAACATAAATTGGGGAATGATTAGCTTGTGAACCTTGGAGAATCTAGGCATTGGTATAGACAAGGAAGATCGATGAGACATCAATCTCCTGTCTTCATAAGCCCAACAACTGACATGAATAAAAACTCACTACTCCCAGACCAACCACACCCAGATAACCCTAGAACTAAGTTCCAAATCACAATGAACTGCAGAAGACAGAAACCCTACAGGTTGGGTGGATAATAGTGGGGAAATGAATGACCAATTTTGACCCAAGTCTTGCAGAGCTTCTGGACCAATGGTTAAGATTACCACACATCGATAGTCACGAAAAGGGGCAGAACCATGACCCCCTAGTAGGAGCCGATGAAATTCAAGACTCCAACAACAACTGGGAGAAATGTAGGAGCCAAAAACTGAACCAACATGCAAGCTAAAAATGGGTCCAGCTCGTCCTCAATGAAACTGGTGGACCTGGGATTCTGCTAACAAGGTGAAGTGAAAGGAAAAAAATGTTGAAGTTGAATTGTAAATCCATAGTAAGTCCCCATTAGGGGACATAAACCTTTATATAGTTGAACTACAAACTTTGCCTTATAACCCCAAAATTCGAGGAGCACATATTATTTGAGAGTCGGAAATATGCCTCCACCTGGTGGTGGTAGGCAAAAGCACAAACGTGTCAATTACGGCCTAACTGCCCAAAACATCACACACTCGAAGAACCAACAGAAGAAAAACAAATCAAAAGCAGCTCATCCCAAAGTGGCCGCCTTTTCATTTTACATAGGTCATTTAAAGAAATTGAGTGCAAGACCTTAGCACTGCGAGTCCATAAACTTACCATTGACCCACAGGGAGGCTGAAAATCCAACAGACTAAAAGAAAGCACAAGAAAAAACGAATTTAAAGTCTCTCCAAAATGTTGAGGAGTCAAATAAAATAACTAGAAAGTCTATATCTTAACAAATAGCCATAAGAACAACTAATAGTATAGTTTAAAGATATTACAATAAACACTGAAGTCAATACATACAAGCACTTACTTTTCTTGTCTGGTGTTAGAAAGATATTCAGAGGCTCTGAAGCAAAAAGGTCAACCCTGCCAGTTATGCTAAAATACGAATGAAAAAATAAATTTTTGATAGTTACTTACTGGAAATCCATAACCACAATTAAATGTATATAAAGAAAAAGTACATTAATTATATACTTCAATTTAAAACAAGTTTGTCAAAAGTTCCTTCCATTAGAGACTTGGCTACAACAGATAAAATTTTGTGTCTCGCATATCCTTAATAACACATAACAAATCTAAAATTTTAAGCTTTATATTGTAATAATTATTCAACAATTTACACACTTTTTAAAATAAGAATATAAAATAATAAAATATTCAATTGCACCACAATAATTTAATAGAAATATCACAAAATGAAAATAACTTAAACAATTAACAAAGCTGTAAAATGTTAGGATTTTTTTTTTTAATCATTATAATCCAATTACCTTTTGGGTTTCATATTTCTTTGAAATTCAGATGAAACTGATAGGCTATCATAAGAAACAGATTTCTCTGAAGTTCTTAGGCTAGATATCTCAACAGCCATTTTACTATCTGGATAAGAGTGTAGAGAATGTCCCGGATCCAACTTTGGCTTACTTCTATCAATCTTCATTCCCAAAAATATTTTGCTATAAATCACAAAGATAGCATTTTGGAAATTACCAGTAAAAATAAATAAAGTAAAAATGAATTTTTTTTACTGATGATTCCCAAATTTGAATTTAAATAATAATATTATTATTTCATATTTGAGAGATGCATTTTTTATTTCTTTAAATATGTACCAAAATTTGGCCAATTTTTACAAATTTTGAATTTTATTCATTGTATATCTCAGACAAAATGTTTCAAAAACAGTTGTTTGTAAGAAATATTTCATACAACATTTATTATAAATATGTTAAATGTGTATTAAATGTCTCAACAATAAAACATTTTGCAATAAACAGTAAATAAACATCCACACCTTACATATAGAATACAGCAATATATTTGATCTGTGAGGCCCAGTGTGACAACAGTATGAAGTGGCACAAAAACAAAAAATCTGCTTTACATTTGACTTAGTAACACTCACATTAGTGCACAGTAAACATTATGCCATTGATTTTTTTTTCAAACCATGTAAAATATACAATGTAAAAAAAAACAAACTATATTCTTCTCATTTCGGTTAAGTACCTTAAGACATCACAAGTTAATGAAGTCATCTGTTGTTCTCCATTATAGATATACATTTATTTCAAATACTAGAAAATCTAACCTGTTTTATGTTAGTTTACCAATCTTCACACTTCTGTGCTTCAGTAAATAAATAAATTTTTGGGATACCTACTGTAATCTCTTAACACTACCGAGATGAGTTTTGCTATGGTCAAGGGTCAAAGGTCATGTCATTGTGTTTGTAGATTCGCCTTCAAAATTTTATTGAACTGTTATTTTATGAATGTATGTCAATAAGTTTGGTATGAAATTGGGGATTATAATTCAAAATTTAGTATTATACATCAGTTAATTTAAAAGCATATGTTTAAAAAATCCTAAATATCGATTTTTGTGTTTCATGTGGTATGTTTATTAAGCACTGGTTAAAATTAGATGTTTGTGATGTCCAAATACAAAGTCTATAGTTTCTTACAAAGATACTCAAATTACCTATATTGACAAGCTAGAATATAAGATAAGAATCTCCTATCTTTTCTATTTTCTGAGATAATATATTTATTGAATCAACCAAGGTGGCCTCGCCCACCTCTTCCATTTTTGAAAATACTTGCTATGTACATCTATTTTGCCCAATGACGTGTGTATAACTAATCCAAAGCTCAGAATGTTCCCCTAGTGAAGGATTTGTGAGGGGAAATTCTTTCTTTTTATGTTAGTTTCAAAGTGGTAAGGTAAGACATTAATGAGTTCAAAAAAATCTTATTTTTAGGCCCAAATGCAGCTTAGTTACCAAGCCTTATAAATTATAGTGGAATTCTGTGGTATTGATATGGTAACTTATGATTTTTTGCTATTTAAAAATGCATATATATAAAACCTAAAAAAAAATTATTTTGTCCTAAATCCTCCAGGTGCAAAATTTGATAAGGTTTAGCAGCAAATGAGTACAAAGTTCGTAACTAGAAGAGATAATTGTTTTCTATACTTCTTCATTTACTGTTCTATGTTTTAAGAAAAATAACTGAAATTTAAGAACTTATATGTAAATAGTAATAATGTATATTCATGTATAATGTATTATAAACGAAATGTGACTGTATTTTACAAAATACTGCTTCACTAGAACACAGCCAAGACAGATCACTTTGTAAAGGCCAGATTTATATTCTTGGATAAGGTAACTTGAATGTATGTTCACCACATCATTGCAACTTCTGTAATGTTAGTAAGGCATGGCTGAAAGGTCAATAAAATAAAAATAATAAATGTATAATATTATGAGATTTATGTAATTTAGACTAAACATTTATGTTTTCGTGTTATAACTTGTAGTCGTCTTAGAACAAAAAAAGCATAATTTATATCTATTTCTTAATTTTTTATGGTGGTTACGAGGTCGGTCAAATCTACCAAACCCTTACAGAGATACAATAGTAAAAATAACAGATAGAATATAAAATTTTTTCTTAAAAAATTTTCGATTATTATCTGGAGGTTATAAAGATTTTGCATGTAAAATTTGAAAATTTTCTGATGCATAAAAGTATTTTTAATCTTAAAATCAAAATTACTTTGCATATTGGAAAGTCAACATTCAAAAAGAAAAAAAGTGCGAGAAAAACATTAGTTAAAAAATCCTAAAACTTAATAAAAAAAATAAGATAATTTGGGTACAAAAGACTTGTAATGTTTACTGATAACACATGCCTGTGAATTTAAAGTTCATAAAAGTTTTTTTGGTTTAAATAACAGATTTTCCATAATTCAGCTATGCAGGTTTCGAAAATAATATTCATTTTTTTCTATCTCGTAAGTATTTTTTACAAGTTAGGAAGAAAAAACTCTTACTTAAATCCAATTATTATTTCATTTATCACAATGAACATTTTTTATTATTAAGTTTGTTAATAAAAATACAAACAAACTGAAGAAAAGAGAAAAACATTGATGTCAAATGAATATGCATCCCCATTCATCCTGATTTTTTTTGTGAAGTCTGTCTTTTGGTCTCAAAACTACATATTGTGGTCTTCCTTTTATGTATTGTGTTATGACATTTTGTGAAAAATCTGTATATGATAGAGAAAAATGGATATCATTTTCGGTTTCAACATACAGGAATTATTGTAGAACATAAAAATTTAAAGACAATAAAACCATCACAGGCTTGTGTAATCTGCAAAATTTCATGAAGATACGCTTAATAATTTAAAAGTTATAGCATGAAAACCATAACAAGCACAAAAATGGCTATGAGGTCAGTTCCTGGGAACAAGCCCATGCTGAAAGAGTTAAACACCTTCACTATCACCGTACGTAATGTATGTTATGATTCAAAGTTTTATATCCTTTATTTCACATGACCAACAAGCTATGAATATTCTCTACTTTGGCACTCTGTATCTTTAATAATACAATGGCAGTTGTGTAGATGTATGTCTAGACTATGAGATGCTTACATAACTTATTGACTCATATATTTCAAAGATCTCTGAATAAATACAGTTCAAGCAAGTTATAAATTTTGCCAACCCCTGACAGGTGCCATGCCCACCTTCAACAGATTTGTTTGAGCTTTATAGTTTGCATGTACAGTTTACATAAGCATGTATACAGTCATTAGAAAGAGCTCATTTGGCACTATAATTTAACAATGATTATTTTTAAATTGGTGCACAGTTGTCATCACAGAGTACATGTAACTGACTGTAGTATTGTTGGCTGCTTGATCAACTTACGGTTGTTTCTTACCTAAATATGTTATAGTTAGAGATACAGTTAAACTGTATTTAGGCCTTACTTTTATATCTTAATTAATGATGTTCTTGATGTTAGAAAAACACTTAGGTTCAAGAAGTCTTGATAGAAATGAATAAAAACCCTATAACCTGAGCGCTTTCAAAAGGTGGACCTTTCTTCTTCAGTTTGCCCTTGAAAAAGAAAGGTCCACCTTTCGAAAGTGCTCGGGTTATAGGGTTTTATTCATTAGTTAATTATGTATTATTTATGTTTTAAAATGCATAATTAAAAGGTTTAAACATTTTTTAAATATACATTATACCTTGCATCAGTTTTCAAGGCTTACTATATTATGGACATTTGCTGACGAGTTGTGCATCCCTACCAGAGACACTGTAATATGCCTTGAGAATGCTGTTGACTTGTGTCAAGATGAATAATAAATAGTAAAGGACAAGAAAGGAATATAAAACATTAAAAATCAACTATATGTGAAAAGAAAATGACCTGAAATTATGAATATAATCAAAGGAATATCTTTAAAGATATTCTACAAAAAATTAAAAGGTATGTACTTTTTTTCTATTTCCTATTTTTAATTATTTCATCACATTGTACCTTGATGATAATAGCTAGAGTTAGTGATATTGTAGAGAAAATGAAAAATAAAATATAAACATTTACCTTTAAAAAACTTTTGATATTTATTTAGAGGTTCTAGAGGTTATGCAAATGAAATATGAAAACTATAAGATGAAGAAAACTATTTTTTTTATATTTAAAATGAAAATCATATTGCACTCAAACTATTCACGGATCGAGTGCAAATAACTACTATAGATAAATAATGTTTATTAGAAAGACAAAATTAAAATAATATAATTCTTTGTGTACAAGATACTTATAAACTTTAACACAATCTTTCAAGGTTTTGTGAGGAATGCTCAGAGTTACCATATGTTTTTTGCATAAATGTCTTTCTCCAGTCTATGTGATACAAATATATCAGTTCATTGCAAAAGGGTTAAAAAAAGGCACAAACAATTTACCTTAAACTGCCCCCATCTTGTGATCCATTGGCTTCACATGCTTTCTGTGTCTGCTGAACATGAACTCGAAGCTTTTGAACAAGTTCTGATTCTGTCTCATCAGAATTTCCCCCGAGGATGTTTGCCACATCTTTAACTGCAGTTACAAGCTGCTCATCAAGTTCCTCATATGAACTAAAGCAATGTACAAATATAATGAAACAAGTGAGACAATCTTTTTTTTTCTACAGCCAGTATTGTAACATTACATTACACATATATTTATCTTCTCATCAGTTTGTTATAAAAAAAGTGATGCAAGAAATTTCAACGTTAATCAAAATCAAAGTGCTCTCTCTAAAATTTCAATCTGTACACTAAATAGAGTTCAAACTACTAATAGTCTTGCAACGTTTCCATCATTTTAATGAAATATACATAAGACAATTGGAATGAACTTTATATATTCTAAGTTTCAACAAGGAGGAGAAGTATGTTAGTGATTTGAGTACAATTTCATATAGCATACATTTAGTAACTACAACAATTAGCTCAACATGATTAGATCTAGGTAATGTTAACATACCTAAAAGCTAATATACACATATATAGTTTGATTACAAACTTGATACAATGACATTACAGTGCATGTGTGAATTTTGAACAAATTTATGGAGGTATAACGCTAATAATTAAAATGCACAATTTATGATAGGTTTATACTGATAAACTTGAAAATGTTAAAAACACTCCTTTTAAAATATTCCATTGTAACCCACAATACATGGAAAAAATATAACAGTAGTTAATCAGTTTAATCATTTTTAAAGCTAAAACCCATCACAATTTTACATTATAGCCTTAGCATAGTTAAAAGAACCTATAGTTTACCCACCAGCCTTTAGAACAGTAATCATATATTAACAACAAATTCTTTTGTTCTTTCACTTTTTCCAAGATACAATTTTAGAAATAATTAAGGAAGCACACAAGGGATATAATACAGAAGCCACAAAAATAATAAATAATTGCAACTGAATGGTCAATTTATCATTATTACAATCAGGGCTTTTTTTGAGATGGTACGCACCGGAAAGGCATACTGGCACCATTTTTCATATTGCAAAATGGAGGGAAAGGTGAAAAAACTTGAAAGAGTAATGTAAATGAATGTGTGAATTTTCCTTCTTGAACAAATCATTTGTTCACAAGAAGACCAAAGAGACACTGAATTAGAAGTTTTACAAATGACAGTTTAAAGGAGTGTGAAAACATATTGTTTGTTTGATCGTGTATGTGTGATCATCAGTGCAGCATGAGGTGTGAAGCATCAGGTAGGATTAGCGTGCAATTAACAGAGAACATCAATGGTCACCTGGTTTGAACACCTACAAGACGTGGCCACTATCAGTCGAGGTATGGTAGTGGTCTCACTTTGATTGACAGGTTTCAATTGGGCAGCAGCAGGTGAGAGCCAGCCTGGGTGGACACAATACTGAGTCCAAAGAGACCGCTTTGGACTGGGAAACAGGTGACCACAAGCCGAGTTGACCGATACATGGGTCTGAACTGAACATTTATTCAAATAAAATAAGTCACAAAGTGGACGAAGACGACTGACATCATTAATTGCACAGCACCTTCTCAGCAAAGATAAAAATATGTGCATGCGTACGAGTCTCAGGTACAAGTCGTTTTGGTCGGACATGCTCAGTCGAGGTGGTGATGCCAATTTAAGCAGGATGTATGTTTCTCTTTTACTGTGCTTTGATTTTATTGTACCTGGGAGTGTATATCATTTTTATTGCATCTTGAGAAAACACCCCAACATAAAAATGAAACAAATCACAGGTTTCTTTTCCACTTCTGTCGATAAGAAAGCTAGAGGACGTGACCCAAGAACAGGAATTAATGGCATCAGTGACAGTTTCTGTTCCTGGTCCATCTGGTGTCCATGAGCTATCTGACAATGACTGGCCTAGCTGTTGGATTGCCGATAAAAAAAATTATTTTTGCAGGAAGTACATAAAGCTGCAGTCAAAATGTTGGCTGAAGCTGAGAAAGAGATCATTGAAAATGTGTGTTTGAAAGCATTATCTCAAAAAAAGTGATTAGCACAAAAATATTTTGCACAGCATATAAGGTAGCAAAAGAAATAGATTTACAAGAACTAATTGGAATTGACATAGGCTGTATCCTTTACTCAATGAATACACGTATTAACATTGTGAATCACATTAGTGATGGAATGAAAAAAACTAATTAGTATAGTTACTAAATCTAAAAGTAGAATTTCACTGATAGTCAACTTCTTTGAATAAAAACATCTTCCTTAATAGTGTACATTCGAATATGTATCTCGGATAATGGAATGAACAAGCTGGTAAATATATTTTTGGAATTGATTGAACTTGAAAATGTTACTATAAAAATAATTTTTGATTCTTTACTTGATTGTCTTCAGTCTTATGGAATGAATGAAGACTACCTGAAAAGTTATTTACTTTGTGTGGCATGTAATGGTGCAGCCGTGATGTTGGGGAGTAAAAGTGGAGTTAAGAAACTGATAAAATACAAATTTCTGTAATTGTGTGGCAGTGTGCTAATCACAGATTAGAACTGTCGGTCAATGACACTGTAAAATCAGTATTAGGGATCAACAGATTTAAAGCATTTATTGATACACTTTATGTCTTGTATCGTATGTCACCTAAAAATAGCAGAGAACTGAAAGTGTGCAGGAACTTGATGGAAATTCAATTTTTAAAAATTGGCCAAATTTTAAGCATTCAATGAGTGGCATATATTTTCCGAGTAGTTTCAGCTGTTTGGGAAAACTATGAAGTGTTTGTGCAACATTTCAAAGAAGTGAGGCATGATTCAACAAGAGACAAAAAAGAACAATGTGCATATGAGGGCTTACAGTGAAAAATTATAAGCACATAATTTCTAATGGATGTAGGATTGATGTGTGATACTCTCCAAGAATTATTCAAATTGAGTTTGGACTTACAAGAGCATGATATAGACTTGTACAATGTAGATCAAAAGATAAAAGCTCTTGTACAAACTTTTGAAGAAAGAGGAATGATTCCAGGCCCATATTAAAAAATGCCGCCAAAAATCTTCACTTCCAAGGAGTTTCACTTCATAACAAAGGATCCTCCGATTAATCAGGAAGCTTTTTACAGAACCTTGAAAAAATTGATCAAAAATAGGTTGCTTGATAGTGAATAGTGTGATATATGCTTGATAAAAAACATTAGCCTGAAAAGGTTAATGCTCATTTAACATTCAACAAGATTGAGGTCAGAAAATTATCAATAAAACTTCAGCTTAATCAAAGAGATATGATTCGTGGATTTTGTCAGCATTTAATCAAAAAGACAGTTCCATAAAAACTGCAGCATTTGAAACATGCTCAGAGTATTATTCCCATTTCTTCCAGATGAATTTGACTGTCACTCCAACCAGAGTTTTGTTAGACGAAAAAACCATTTACAACTACTTTTGTTATTAAACTTGTTGGACCACCCCTTCCTACGTTTTGACCTAAAAAAAATATTA